CGGCAACAATGGGATTGAGAAACCTTCATCATATGATGCAGTACCTGCCCCATCAGGCATTGCAAACCCTTCCCAAAGCACCCTGCAGCTAGTTGCACAGTGGGGGACAGAGAGCAGTGCTCTGTGATAGCTGTGTCAATGCAAGAGCTGTTAGCGTGGATGCACTCTGCTGACACAAGGAGCTAGTGTGGACATGCAACAGTGGTTTTAATTAAAACAGCATAACTTTTGCAGACAAAACGTAGTGTAGAAAAGGCCTTAGTTGAACACAGCCCTCTTCCCCCACCCCTCATTTTCTCCCCAACCTATCTTGGACCTACTTATATTGATTATAGGCTAGATACAACCATCAACTTTGCTGAATCACAACCTATTTGTTTTTCAAATGTAGCCCACACATATGTATTCAATGAGTTAACTATATGAAAAGTTTGAAAAGTCCCTAATTCAATTGTTAAGAGTGTTTGGAACACAGAAAGGCGAGACATGTACTGGCATTTTTAAAGGGCCCATTTTAAAATTAATTCTAACAACCTATTTAGCAGAATTAGTTGTGAATGGTCAGAAAACTCATCCTGTACTCAAAAAAGCAAGTACTGTGAGAGTGAAGAGAGTACTCTATTACTTATAGAGTGGAATCTCTGATTTAGGTACAAAAATGAACATGGAGAAACACGTTTAGACAGTAACAGCAGCAACACTCTTTCATCGTTATTTACCTGAAAGAACAAGACTGAAGCCTGAAAACCGGGACAACCATGTTTTGTCAGACAGCCAAATTTGAAGTCTTAACTGTCCATTGACAAATAATCAGAATTGCCTTCACTCCCCACCCGCTGGTAGTTTGGAACTAAAAACAAGAATTCATGGTTTAGATTAACTATATTTTGGTTAAAGTTCATTGAGAAATGGGATAAAGAAACCCAAAACTTTGCTAAATGACAGGGAAAGTAGTATTTTCAAGCCTTTAAGATGCAACTATATACAATGAAAAATTAAAAAAAAAATGTTTTAAACCACCCCAGTTAATAGTATCCTTTTAAAGGAAATTTCAATAGCATAATCTATATTGTGCAAAGGCAAGATATCATTGTATTGTTTTATTGGCAGTTTTACTAGTCACAAATCAACACAAATTCCAGCAAGCACTTTGTGATATCACAATTTGTGATGTTCTGAAACTAACCCTTAAGAAACATCTTTCACGATCCTGTCTACTCTATACATTGAATTGTCAGCGGATTCAGTTACACTGTCATCTCGACATAATTAAAGCATAATTTTGTTTTTACAATTTAGACACTAACAGTGTTTTAAGAATCACTCTAAAGCCTTGGATACATCATGTCATTATTAGACCACAGTTATTAAAAACAAGCATGTGTGAAAGTCAGGATATATAGAGATAAGGCTCCAGAAACATCTCAACTCTGGCCCCTCATGCCTGGGAACCAGTCATCTACATTAGGATGCACTGTCCAAAATATACTTAGACATTTAGATCATCATATCTTCAGGGCAGAGACTGCCTATCACTACAGATCTGTAAAATGCCAGTACGATGATCCTGATCTTGACATGAGTCTAAGCGCTTCAGTAACACAAATAATGGGACAATATGTAGCATTTTCTAATAGTGCATATTTTCAGGGTGGGCACTCGAGTTAAATTAGGTTTACTGACTCATAGCTATGAAACTGTTTGGTAACTGCATACAGAAGAATAAGAGGCCAACTTAACAGGAAGAATTACAGGTGGCTACAGTCAAGGTAGATTTGCTGAGTAAATATGGAAGTGGATATATAGATGTGTATATCAGCAAATATTAACTAGATCACTGCAATGTGAACTGGGGCAAAATTCCTAATTTCAACAATGCAGTATTCCTATTGGGCTTGTTCTATTTACTGTACCTTTCTTGTTCTTTTCTCCTCCCAAGTTTTAGTAGTCAATATCCTGAACATTCATTGTACACGAGTTGAGGCCCAACCAGCATTACCAGGAGCAGAATAAGTTAAGTAGCTCTTAAAAAATTCTCTTTATTACTACAAATTAGTTAATATGTTGTCACTGCACCAGTGCTGACTTATTCAATTTATAATTCACTACAGAAAATAAACATAAGAAAAAGATTCATGTGAAGCAATTTGCATGTACTTTAGTACAGCAGAAGCCCAGGAAGATGGACAACCTTGACAGTGCATTTTAAAAAAAACATAATTGAAAATAATCATTAAGTTTACATTCAGTTAGCCATAGGAATGAAGAGTATTCCATGAAGATATAGAGTAAATTAATACTGAAGCATAATTTGTGATTCCTGCCGTAAGATTTAGTTACAGTGCCACAGAAGATAGAGCTTGAGTATGATCTTAGTGCCTCAGTTTCCCCATCAGAAAAGTGAGAAATACAGTGAATACCGAGTTGTCATAACTATAAAGGAAGGGTAACAGCTCTCCTGTGTACAGTACTATAAAATCCCTCCTGGCCAGAGACTCCAAAATCCTTTTACCTGTAAAGGGTTAAGAAGCTCGGGTAACCTGGCTGACACCTGACCCAAAGGACCAATAAGGGGACAAAATACTTTCAAATCTTGGGGCGGGGGGGGGGAAGGCTTTTGTTTGTGCTCTTTGTTTTGGGTTGGTTCGCTCTTGGGACTGAGAGGGACCAGACATCAATCCAGGTTCTCCCCATCTTTCTAAACAAGTCTCTCATATTTCAAACTTGTAAGTAAAAAGCCAGGCAAGGCGTCTTAGTTTTACTTTGTTTTCTCAACTTGTAAATGTACCTTTTACTAGAGTGTTTATCTTTGTTTGCTGTACTTTGAACCTAAGACTAGAGGGGAGTCCTCTGAGCTCTTTAAGTTGATTACCCTGTAAAGTTATTTTCCATACTGATTTTACAGAGATGATTTTTACCTTTTCCTTTAATTAAAAGCCTTCTTTTTAAGAACCTGATTGATTTCTCCTTGTTTTAAGATCCAAGGGGGTTGGATCTGTATTCACCAGGGAATTGGTGAAAGGTTTCTCAAGGCTTCCCAGGGAAGGGAATAAGCTTTGGGAATGGCGGCAACGGACCAGATCTAAGCTGGTAGTTAAGCTTAGAAGTCTTCATGCAGGCCCCCAAAGTTGTACCCTAAAGTTCAAAGTGGGGATACAGCCTTGACACGAGTAAGTGATGTTAAAGAAATGGGATAAAGTTTTAAAGCAGGGTTTGAAAATTTTACCAGATACCAACTAGTCAAAAGATTAAACTCGGTAGACAGAGTCCAAAATAAAAAGACAGGAGGAAGCTCACTGGCCAACTTAATGACCTAGTGAAAAGCCAACTGCCCTTCCCAACTTGCTGCCTACCATGGTGTTGTCCCTTTACACTACTCAAGGGCTCCATCTTTTATGTCAGCTGCTTGCTAGTAGGTGTCTGACAGTTTTGAAGCCCCCTCCCCATATATTCCCCCTGCAAAAGAAGGAGCATTCTCTCTACCAGTCCCTAACCTTAAAGTTGTTCTACTAGTCTATCCTCCACCTTCCTTCATACTCTGAATTTCCCTCTCCAGTAGTTTCTTTTGCTGCCACTCAGGATTTTTCCAAGTAGCAGGGTTAAAGTGACATCGTTCTTGTCAGTTCCACTGCTACATATGGGATCGGATTCTGAATAGCAACAGTAAAAGCTACCAAAATTCTGCTCTTATTCCAGACCACTGCTGTTTGAAAAAGTTCTGAGCACTGAACCATATGCAGATTCATGAAGCTAACAGCAATAAGATGAAATGATCTAGTCACATCCTTGGGAGGGTGTTGGAGATATGGAAATAAGATCTTTTAAAGCTTGAAGAGACAAAGCAGGTGGTAAGTTTAGATACAGAAGCAAAGTGATGGAGATGAAGATACTTTAAACAGGTATTCTCTTCCATTCGTTTTCAAGACCAGATGCTTCAATTTGGGCAGAATCCTGGGTGACGTCGTAGCTCTAGGACCCCTCAAATGCCTTTTCCTGAGCCAGTCCACGTAGAAATCTAAAGTGCCCGCTTCTCCTGGAAAAAGATCACTGGCAAGTTACAAAACCCAGGAAAGCAGCAAGCACAATCAACACCCTCCCCCGCCCCCCAAACCAAACCCTAAGCCTTCTCCCTACAGCCAGTACTGCTCCACAGGTATCACCTTAGGCCACTGACACCGCATCCCCCGTGCAGGATCACTGCCCGTGCAGTTTCCTCAGGGGCAACTATTGCCTTGACAGCAACGTGTGTGTAGCTGGAGGCAGAGCTGCGTAAATCGCCCCCTCAAAAGCGCCCCCTCAAAAGCGCACCTGAGTATTTATATCTCCAGATACAGCACTTAACCCCCCCCCCACCGTACCTCACCGCCTCTCCCTCGCAAGCGCCCACACCTGACGCTGGCTGAAGCGAGCCCGTTGCCTACCTAGGGACAGGAGACGCCCCAGGGCGCAGCCCCGACCCGTCTTCCCCCAAGCCACCAGCCTGCTCCCTGCGAATCGCCTCTTCGCCCATTAGAGGCAGGCAGCCGGCTCCTGCCACCACCTCCGAGCCCCACCCCCATCCCGGGGACAGGCGCGACAGCAGCGCGCGCTCCCAGCATCGGCGGCCTGAACGGTAGCAGTAGCAAAGGCCCCCAGCCCTGCTGTCTACGGGGCTGCCTGAAAAACAACGCAGGCGAGGACCCCAGCTATCCGTCAAGCAGCCTTCGAAGACCCCAGGTGCCCTTGGCGGTGCCTGAATAATAATTCCACCGAGGACTCCAACCGCCTGTACATCCACAGCACACGCACTAAGCAAGGATCCGAGCGATCATTCCTGATCCTAGCGTAACAAAGCCTCCGACGACCCTCAGCGCCCTTCCAGCTGCTTTAAATAGAGCTTTTCTCAGGACCCCGACTGTCTACCATGCAGCCTGAACAATAATTGCCTGAGGAGCTCGGGTGCCTAGTACAGTGCCTGCGCAGCGAGTGAGCCCGCTGCCGCTGAGGACCCCGGCTGCCTTTGCGTTGCCTGCACAATAACACTGCTCAGCGAGCCTCCGGTAGAAGTTCTAAACAAAATTCCGCCCGGCGAGCGGCGGGGAGCCCGGCGGCAGCAGGGAGACCCGGCCCGAGGGAGCGGGGAGCCCCGCCGCGCTCGCTATGGATCAGTGTGTGACGGTGGAGCGGGAGCTGGAGAAGGTGCTGCAGAAGTTCTCGGGCTACGGGCAGCTCTGCGAGCGGAGCCTGGAGGAGCTGATCCAGTACGCGGGGGGGCTGCGCCGCGAGATCCTGCAGAGCGAGAGTACGTGCGGCGCGCCGGGCCCGGGGCTCGGGGAGGGGGGAGCTACCCCTCAGCCCCGCCAGAGAGTCCCCCCATCCCGGTTCTCTTCAGCCCTCCCCAGGCTCCCCCGATCCCAGTTCTCCTAGACCCCCC